GGATTTTTGGTCAAAGGCGATGCGCTTCCATATGGGGAACCAAATACATTGCCGCAGAAAATGAAGAAGTGGCGGGGATCGAAAGCCTTCCCTGGGCCGATGAGAGAACTCCACCAGTCGCTGACGTCGCTGCTCCCCGTCAGAGCATGGCAAATGACTAGAACATTATCTCGCTCTTTGTTCAGCTTTCCCCAAGTCTTGTACGCCACGGGGCATTCGTAGAGGATCTCGCCTGAGTCTAGCGGGAAGCTCGGGATGATGGCGAAGTTCTGATTGCGGATGAGGCGAGTGTAGAAGTTATCCGAGTTTGGACTTGCATTAACGACTATTTCCGGGGTATTAGTCGAACAGAGTCCACAGGCCGAACGCCGAACAACTTACGCAGAGCCATATCGTAGATTTGGTGTAGTGTCAGGAAATCACTCCGGTGAGCAAGAAGGAAAGACCACGCGAGATTGCTGAAAGTGCCGACGGCTTCGATCACTTGCTGAATGTATCGAGCTGACGGGAGTGTCCAGACCAGCTCTTGTTGGTGGATAGGATCAGTGTAGACACCAGCTGATTGAAAAGAACGGTGTTATGGAACAATACCAGCCCAAGAGTCTTGATGAGGAACCAAAATAGCGAACACCGTCATGTATGAGGACTCCCCGAGATATCGAAATAATCCCGCCTCACTCCCCCGCAAAGTTTCATCATCTCCTTTGGTGACGATCGTTTGCATATGGACCAACCTCGCGTACTGGTATCTTCTCTTTGTCAGTAGAACACAAGATGTCGCGTCTGCATCAGCCCCGTTATCGCCGGGGTTTGAAGGCATCCCGGGATTTGAGCCACAACACCGACGCCCCAGACCGTGTGTCTTCGGGAATCGCATCCTGCCGGCGTACGCCGCAATTAGATGGATTCTCCGCTCATCTCGAATGATTGTGAGGCCATCCTATGAGGACCATGGATGCAATCGATCGCTTTGAGCAGGTTGTCATGACTCAACAAAAGACTCGCGTGGGGAAGAGCTTGAAAAACCGCCACTGGTTGCACTTTGACTGTGCGATCGGTAGCCATCCAAGCTTTTGCCTCACACCTGACCATGGCATCCACTCGTCCAATTGTCAAAGTCGCAGCCGTCCAGGCTGCTCCCGTTTCCTTCGATCTCGAAAAGAGCCTCGAGAAGCTGAGTAAGCTTACGGCGGAAGCCGCAGCGGCTGGTGCCGACCTCGTGGTGTTTCCGTAAGTACACAGTACCTATGCAAGAGCTTCGGTTTGGGTAACAAGATCGGTTGTGCGTGTGTGTAGTGAAGGATTCTTGTCCGCTTATCCTTGGAGATATGCTTTCGATGCCACGATTGGCGCACGGGAGCCTCGAGGTAATCTTGACGCCGCCCTTGGTCTCTGAAGTCCGATGTTGATCTCGAGTAGGGCGCCAATGGTTTGCAAGGTACTTTGATTCGGCCATTGAAGTTCCTTCGCCTGCATTCGACATATTGTCCGAGACAGCTCGGAAGCACAATGTCCTACTGCATGTTGGCGTTATCGAAAAGGCAGGTGGCACGCTTTACTGCACCGCGGTTCTTCTTGACCGGGAAGGCAAGTTGGTGTACAAGCATCGCAAGGTACTCATATTCAGCCCCTGTTGTGCGACTCTACTGATCACTGCAGCTGATCCCAACGGCTGCCGAGCGGCTGGTCTGGGGGCGAGGTTCTGGCGATGGCTTGCAGGTCCAGCAAACTGATATCGGCAAGGTCGGAAGCCTGATCTGGTTGGTCGATCAAGTGACAAGCTCAGTGACAAACAAGCTGATGCAGAAGCAGTTGGGAGAACTACATGCCGGCTGCGCGTATGGCGTTGTACCAACAGGGCATCGAGTGAGTGGCGGTTTGAGGAGCCGAGATAACGACTTGTTCGGAACATTGTCACTGACGAACGCGACTCAGGATTTACGTCGCGCCCAATGCCGATGATTTGCCCGCATGGACAGCATCGATGCAGCACATTGCCAAAGAAGGACGTTGTTTTGTTGTGTCAGTCAACTCTGTGTGCAAGGTTTCAGACTTTCCGTCCGACTATCCGCCGTTTACGGCCGAGCACCCCGACCGGCGGCCGGACGGAGGGCAGTGGGAACCGGAAGACATTGTCAACCACGGAGGGTCCTGCATCGTCGGGCCGCTTGGAACGATGCTTGCCGAGCCTGTGTGGGACAAGGAGGAAATAGTCTATGCCGACTTGAGAATGGCAGATATCACAGAGTCCAGGGTATGCCGTCCATTAGGAGCTTGGTGTCGCTCCTAGTCAGTCGGTCGCATGCCATGTGCTAACAGCGTTTGACAGCTTGACTTTGACCCGGTCGGCAGTTATTCTCGGCCAGATGTATTGTGAGTCAATCACACCCGACGCAGGGGACGACAGGGCCGGAGGACGGTCTGGATGTGCGTCGATCAAAAGCTGACAGGCGGTCTAGTTCGTTGACGGTCAACACCAAGGCTGGAATCAACGTGGCATTTAGCAGCTGAGGCGGCGTCCCGAGCGTGGCTGCGGGCGCTGAGAAGTATGCGTGGGGGGTGTTTTTGTTTGCGCTGGAGGCGGGGTTTTGTGCGGAGAGACCGGGATGGTTTGGGCTGGAGATTTATGGGACCTGACTCGGAGGTCGCATGTCTGGGCATGTCTGGCGGCGGCGTCGAGCTTCGGAGGTTGGCGGAGTCGCGTGGGATCGGAATGGCTTGGTGGCATCGAGGTTCGAGAAGCTTTGCACGACGTCCATGCGAGCTTGGCCCGACGAGTTGTGATGCACAACGTTCGGTGGCCGGTGTGTCGTGCATGGCGTAGGAGAGCCTGTGTCTGCGCCTGTGCGTGGAAGCCTCGTGGTGTTTCTCGGGTGGCTTCTCGAATCCGTCTTCTTGGTCTGATGGTGTCAGGCAGAGAGAACCTGCTGTCCGTGTCGAGGAACCGAGGACCATCGACTCGTTGTTGAGTCGAGAGATGGGATGGCACTTGCAGGTCGAGCATATGACTTTTTTCTCCAGAAGCAAACTTTGGGTGGCCAACGTGTTCGTGAAGCAGACATGGCTGGGAAATCTTAAATGCAGGCCTCGGTGCTGACAGAGAAGAAACCAGTCATCAAAGACGGTGGCCCTGCGATGCTGCGTGTAGATGAATCGTCCGCCCCAGCATCGAAGCATCCATGGAGGTGATGGCTCGGGATGTTGATTCCGATCCTAGCTCCTGCTTCCTGTGTCTTGCCGTCCGTAGTAGCTGCTGTTTATGCAAGCACAACTGGTGCCGGGTGGCCTGACTCTGCTTGGCATCGTGAAAGTTTGCGAATGTTTGGGCAAGAGGCAAGAGAGAGGCCAGATGGCAATGGTCACTTTGACTGCCAAATTGGGAGTCGCGATTTCTAAGAAAGCACCAAATTGAAGGTGCGACTTACCTTACCTTAGGGGTCGGAAGCAGCTAGGCAAGACACAACGGCAGCCAGAGGCAGGTACGGGCCGGCACGGTCAGGGCAGGCGGACCTTCCGCCGGGCGGCAGTAGCAGTCGAGGTAACCCACAGGGCAGCGGCGACTGCACCTGAGTTCCAACGAGCAAGTTCCTGGAACATCATCCCATTGGGACACACCAAAACACCCGCCCCGTTGAAGCCCTCGGTTTCTAGGCCGTGCCAGTTCGGAAACTTTGCTGTGCTGCATCCCTGTCAAAGGCCGAGGCGGGCACTGGCAACACTGTGCGCAAGTTTTCTCACTGGGGAAGACCAGACGTGCCAGAACGACGGCACCACCGTTGCGATTGGACAACTTTCTCGGCTAACCACGATCTGCCCCACACTAGCCCACCGTTATCCCGGGGGAAGCTGCTTCCATTTCCACGTCCACAGGCTGTACGTACCTTTGTACCTTCTCCATCTCAACTCCCGAGCATGGAGTCGTGGTCGCAGCCAGCAGGCGCGTCAGAAAAAGCAGGACCTGGCCCGGCCTGGCCTGCGGGAGGAGGCAGCAGTGAGGAGAGGGACGCAAAAAAAAGGACAGGGCCAACAAAAGAAAAAAAAAAAAAAAATTCCCTCGAAATTCTCTCTCCCAACCCCTGCTCATGCGCTGCAAGCTCTGGCTACTGCCACGACGACGATCGAACCACCCATCCGTCATTGCCTCTTCGTCCCTACCTAGCCTAGGTGCCTACCCTACCCTGAAGGTACCTTGGTCCCTGCCTCGCCCATCTCTATGGCGGCAGGTACATCTCTTTTTCCCCCCTCCACTCCACTCCACTCCAGGTCTCCTCCTGCCGGCGTTGGGTCGGTCTTCTTTTCTTTGCCCACCTCACCCTGCTGCTGCACCTGCACTCGGTGCACTCACTGGCCGCCCTGCGACTCGCCTTCTCATTACAAATCTGGCCGGGTCGCCGCATTTTGCCCCTCCGCCTGCCGAAGCGAGTCGATCTGAAGCACCACCATCTGCAACTGCCCTTGAACTTCACCCGCGCCCGCTACCCGCACCACGCTCCCAGCAAGCACCAAGCACCAAGCACCCGCACCAACCGCTCCTCCTGCTGCACCAGCTGACGACACCAGCCGCTGCGTCTCCCAACAGCTGTCGGTCGCCCTTCAGTAACAGTCCCAGGCACAGACAAGCCAAACAGACAGAGACAAACGTGAACGGCACCACTGGCCCTCCTCCGTCTCTCGCCTCCTTTCCCCGTCCAACGTTCGCTACTCGTCTCCCGGCTCGGCCGTTGCTGACCTCGCCGTACCTGGCTCCACGTCCTCTCTCCATCGAATTTATTACGTTTGCTTTCCCCGCTGTTGGCAGACCACGAGCCCCATCCAACCATCCCGCACACCCCGATCAACCAACTTGGACATCGCCGCTGCCCGCTCCGTGACAGACCCCGATCGGCCCGGAAGGATTCTTGCTGCGCCTGCTCTTCGTAGCCGCGCCTCACCGTCGTTGGCCTTCATTCATTGACCTGTTCATCTTACATGTCGAAACCTCTCACCTGGCCATGACCACAATGACCGAAGCTGTAGTACCGCCAATTCCCGCTGCCGCGGCAAAGAAGAAGTTTGCGACCCCTCCTGTTAAGATTGCTTGCCTCTCCTGGTAAGTCGCCCTCTCCCAAGCCAAGCGCCAACTGTCCCTTCCGGATGAGTATGCGGCGCAGCAGAGCATGCTGCCGTTGCCAACGGGCATGGCGGTCTTTGCGATGGTCAAGCAACCGTGGCTCACATAGGAACAGCCGAGCTTCACGAACACGATGCGATGGAGCAAGCCCTTGTGCCAGTGTAAGCATTTGCTGTTCCCAGTCTCAGGATTTGCTGTAAATGAAAACCGTCTTGTTAACATGAAGCAGTGTAAGAGCCGAGGGCGCGACTGCGTCTACAAACCGAGCAGAAGAGGAGGCGCTCGTGTGAGGCGGAAACCGCGGCCGGTTGATGAACTGGCCCAGCAGAACCCGGGCTTCAATGGCGACATGCCCGTCGATGAAGCCACTCCTCAAGACCGTGAGTCGTCATGCTTGTAATTGTGACCGAGTAGACCTCTGACTGTAGCCGTAGCCATATCCCTCCAGAACTACATCGACCCTGGAGCAGGCCTGAAGCAGCTTCAAGACTTTTTCCAGGACAGCGATTTCATCTTTGACACCTTGTTCATGTCTGGCGTCCCGGGAAGCACCAGCGGCGAAAGCGCATCGGAAGCCTCTTTCAACTTTCCCACTCCCCCGGTTCCTGTCGCTAGGACATACAAGAGCGACCAAGCCATGTAAGTCCTGTTGAATGACTTGAAAATACCAGCAGCTCACAATCTCACAGTCTGGATGCCTACTACATCTTCATTCATCCATTCTTTCCGATTCTCCCTCCGCCCAGCGGTCTGCCCATCGACCAGGCTGTGCCGCATTTCCAGAATGACACGGAGACATTCCAGGACGAGTACCAGCCCTCAACCCCGGTCAGCTTGGCTATATCCGCCATCTTGGCTCTGATTCCATGCGCCAACGACACCAACCACTTAAGCAAGGAGTCGGTCGTTTTCAGACGTCGATACGCCCAGTACCTGGCACAATGCGCAGTCGAGAGCATCGAAATCGAGTCCGAAATCCCCGACTCATCCATCGAGCCACCAAAGGCCCTGAACGAATCGCCAGATGATTTTCCCCGGCAGCAATTCCACCCTGGTGTGCCATTGGAGCTGGAAAGCGTCATCGCGTTGGACATTCTGAGCGTCTACGAGTATGCACAGAGAGGCAACTTGAAGAAGATGCAAGCGAGGGCGGGCCAGGCACTGGTATCCGCCATGTCCCTAGGAATCCACGCCTGCACCGAGGACGACATTTTCGCCGAGGCTCGACGAAGAGTCTGGTGGATGACGGTGCGTTTTGCTGATCTAGATCTTGTGTATTTTGCTAACGCGGCATCTGGCAGTATATCTGTGTATGTCAAGGGTCCATCGTCAGTAATACTGTGTGTAATCCCCCTTCATCCCACTTGAAGCACTTACTGACGCTGTGGAGGAGCCGACCTTTTCAGTGTTTACGCCGAGCTACACGACCAAGTACCCGACCATCCAATCAGACCCTGAGGTATGTAGTCAACGTGCCTCTTTGGGACCAAAACTCACCATTTGGCAGGCCTTTGCCGTGTATATTCAGGCCCAGCAGGCCATCCTGTCGGCAACACAGTTCGTGATTGAATTGAACAAGACGGTCAAGAGTGGTGGCGACATGACGCGCATCTACGCGAGGATGAAGGAGATGGAGCAATACTTGGAGCCCCTCAACACGGTTGCAGATTCGTGGATACTGCAATCCACCACGACGACGCCACTCGATCCCACTGAGGAGATCCTTTCCCGGTCTCTCAGGTGCATGGCTCGGATCAAGCTGAACAGGCGAGTATCTCCTATCAAACTCCGAGCAACTGCTGACCACCAACAGCGCGCGGATCAAGATCCACCGTTACTGTGCCTTCTTTGACATGCCCGTGTTTTCAGGAAAGCACTGCGACTTGAAGTCCAAGGCCGACAATGACAACGGTATCGAGCCCAAGTCGTGGCCTTCGTGCTCCTGTAGCACGATGATGACCCTACCTTCGCCGCCAGTGACTAGCTCAAATGGAACGGCCTCGCCACCATACTCGGGAAAGAGATCTCCTCAGTCGGACCACTCACCCAATGGGAGCCCGCTGGCGACTTTTCCTTTCAGCAGCCACCAGTCGGCTAAGATTTGCCTCAAAGCGGCTATCAACATTGCTAATTCGTTCGACGACTTGCCATACCCGAACCCCTTTGGCCAGCTCTGCCCTGCGCCGTGTTATCTGGCGCCCACGTCGACGATTGTGTGCCCTAGGACCATGCCTTCCTTCGCTTGCTGCGCCATGCAGTGCGCGTATGCATTGCTGATGGTCAATCACAAAACAAAGGCCATGTATCCCGAGAATGCCCTGACAACCCCGATGGTGGAGAGCTTGCTTTTGCGCCTGCAGACGGGCTTGGCCTCCATCTCCGCGACGCTTGAAAACTATGCTACGGCCTTTGAGGCCCTCGGCGGGATGCGCGGTGAGACAAACCCCTTGCAATCTATCTATCGGTAACCTGCACATGCTAATTTCCTCCTGCAGACCAAATTCGCAGTGTTATCGAACCCACCATGATGTTCGATCCCACGGTCTAGGAAACGGCCGAAACGACCTGACCTGCGGTCGCCCATTCGCTTCCGGTCTCCTTGCAGGGAGCCTGCATATCGCCTGCATCTCGCGTCCACGCGTGACGGCATCCCACGGCATCTCAATGGGATCTGGGCGCGGGCTCTGAGTGGGTCTCGGGAATATCTGTACGAAAAGGGGGGCATCGCGGGGTTTGCTCGTTTATCAGCAAAGGCCGGCGATCGATCAACCCCCCGTTGCACGACGACGCAATGCAATGCTATGCGATCTGGGTATCATGCTGGAGGGGTATCGAACGATTGAAACGAAATGATGGAGTTGCTTCAAGGGCGTTTTGGGAGCATTTAAGATATTGGGCTTTGCCTGAGACGTTTGCCTGTATTGGAGCAAAAGTTTCAACGATTTAGGAGTTGAACCGGGACTCAAAGCGACGACTTAGACTATTATTACCCCTCTCAATCATTCCTTACTTTTTTCTCGTCCGTTCAAGATGCCTGTCTCTGGCTCTCTGAGTAACGTCGATTGGTGAGGATCCCGGCCGGCTTTTGGGCCTTCAAAAACTGACACATTGGCCGAACAGGGAGCCGGATTTCGCCACGCTCGCCGTCCACGGTGGCCAAGAGCCGGATCCCGTCAACGGTTCAAGAGCGGTCCCTCTGTATCAGACAGCCGCCTACAACTTTTCCGATGCTGCCGGTGAGGACTTGGTGTGTCACGGTGACACAAGGCACGGCTAACGAGTAGCAGATGGCGCCAGCAAGTTTGCATGGAGCAAAGATGGGTACGTCTACACGCGCATGGGCAACCCGACCAACAGCGTCTTCGAGTCACGCATGGCGATGCTCGAGGGCGGCGTCGGTGCCGTGGCCGCCGCCTCGGGCCACGCCGCGCAGTTCATGGCCCTCACGAATTGCTGTGAGCCAGGCCAGAACTTTGTGAGCACCAGCTGGCTGTACGGCGGCACCTACAACCAGTTCCGAGTATACATGAAGAAGTTCCATATCGACGTCAAGTGGGTTGTGGGCAACGAGCCTGCTGACATTGACGCGGCCATCGACGAGAACACGCGGTGCGTCTACATCGAGACTATCAGCAACCCGAAGCACAGCGTGCCCGATATCAAGGCGATTGCGGACGTCGCACACAAGCATGGCATCCCGCTCATCGTCGACAACACGTTCGGCATGGGCGGCTACCTGTGCCAGCCCATCAGGCAGGGCGCTGACATTGTCACGCACTCCTGCACCAAGTGGATCGGCGGCCACGGCACGTCCATGGGAGGCATCGTCATTGACGGCGGCCACTTTGACTGGAGCGCCTCGGGTAAGTTCCCAGGATTTACGGAGCCGGCGGACGGATACCACGGGCTGAAGTTCTGGGACACATATGGATACAAGGCTCTCTCAGCCAAGGTTCGCATGGACAGCATGCGCGACTTGGGACCCTGCATGAGTCCCTTCAACGCGTGGCTCTTCCTGCAAGGACTCGAGACTCTCGCCCTTCGAGGACAACGGCACGCAGAGAACACACAAAAGCTGGCCGAGTGGCTTGAGGCGCATCCCAGCGTCAACTGGGTGCTCTACCCCGGCCTCAAGTCGCATCCCGATTACGAGTACACCAAGAAGGTCTTCACCAACGGTGCAGGCGGTGTCTTGACCTTTGGCGTCGTAGGTTTACTTCCGCATCTATATTCCTGGGCCTCAGCTTACCACCCCGCCAGGCCGGCAACATCGACCAAGTGCGCGCCGTCGTCGATAACCTCAAGCTGTGCTCGCACCTCGCCAACGTTGGCGACGCCAAAACGCTCATCATTCACCCGTGGGTGACGACGCACCAGCAGCTGCCCGACGAGGAAAAGATCAAGGGCGGCGTGACGCCGGACCTCATCCGCGTGTCGGTCGGCATCGAGGGCTTCGAGGACATCAAGAAGGACTTTGAGCAGGCTTTCGCGGCGGCCGGGCTGCCGGCGGCGGTGAAGACGGGCGGGGACCCGTTCGCGGCGGCGCTGAACCTCGTGTCGGGCGGGTTCATGGGGAAGAGCTCAACGGGGGCGCCGAGGCCCGGGACGGATGGTACGGTGCAGGTTAGCGCTTGAGATGGGGTGGCGTAGCATACAGGGAAGCGAACTTTTTTGAAAGCATCTAGTGTCGTTTTGGTGGCAGCGTCCAGAAATAAAGTATTTTCAATTTTGCCTATGCCCAAGAGAAGAGGAGCCCCCACGTCTGTATCTGCGTCCGGCCCTCCCCTGGGATCTCAGACATTGAGATGCGTGTCATCGGCGGAGCTGTCGTGCAGCAAGGTGCCGGTTCTGATGCTACCCCTCCCGCGTGGGGCGAGCAGAGAGACAGAAAGAGCTTAATCGCACCTCATTTTCGATGAACCTTGACGGTGCTCATCTAAGAGCGAATGGAAACAACCTTGTGGGTGGGATGGAAGTTTGGAGCTATTAAAAGGCTTCTCCCGCTGGTTTCACTGCAAACCATCAGATGACATCAGCGCAAACAAAAAAGGGACGACCCCTCACGATATCAGAAGCAAATATGCCTCCTGCAAACCACAACACCGGTGCTCTAGGCACGTTCAGACCCGTTGCCCCGTACATTACTACAACCACTGCGTCGTCGATTGGCAGCAACGCCGTTCGCGAGAGCTCTTACTACGCCCAGGAGGATCGGTGGCCTGCGCCCCGACCGGCAGAAGCTCAAACTGAGGACAATCTCCTCTCCGATTACATCGCCCGTTCTGCCCCGCCGTTCATCGTTATCCGTGTCTCCCGCTCGCCTGTCGCAGCAGAGACATCGAACACTATCCTCACCCCCGACGAGGAGGAAAAGGAAGCAGACGAGGGCAGCAAAGACGGAGACAAAGAAGCGCCAACACATACACCCACCAGGCCGACCACAATGCCGCAGCGCAAGCCGTACGACGGGGGCGGCATCGTGCCCCCGCACATCCGCACGGCCATCGCCGAAAGCAAGAACGCATCCACATCCGCGACGGAGGCCGCAAAGACACCCGGCACCAACCCCGCCGCAAAGGAGATTCGCACGGAGGAGTTTACGCGCAGCGGCTTCGTGCCCGCCTACGTGCTGAAGAACATCGCGACAAGCGAGGCGTCGACGGCTGAGCAGCGCGCGGATGCGCAGCGGACGTTGGATACGGACGAGGCACGGCGGGAGCGTGGGAAGGATCGGGATGCGGACGGGCAGGGGGAGAAGTAATTGCCAGGAGGGCTGATGAGCAGATTGCAGAATTTCAACTTCAAACACTTCCCGACCGCGTTCTAGAAAGACGGTGACATGTTCCGCGTCCAAAAGATGGAATCATGCTGGACCCCTGGAATGCACACCCATCGCGGGGTCCACCGCCAATTTTGGCGCGAATTCGGGTGCTACTGACCAACACCTCGCGCCCATTCGCCCATTGAAAAATGTACGTTTTCCCCCCCGGTCGGATCATTCGACAATCGGGAACCCGCGGCGACAGGGTCAGCACCAGCACAGCCAGCCCGCCCCATTCCGATCTGACGCTGCTTGTGTTGGATGGATGCTGCCATTTTTTTGAAGGGTCGCGTGCACCCCGCCAAAACTTTGTACCTGCGCGGTGGGTCCAACGCCGCCAACTTTCAATGTGTGCTGGACGACTGCTTCCAACTCAGCCCGAAAGGTGGCGCCAGTTGCAAATCAGACCACCATCATTCGGTCCCGCTTCCCTTCCCATTTCCTCCCTGGTGCCATCAGCTCATCGGCGCATTATGACGCCAGCGCGACAAAGCGTAGGGAGTTGTGAGAGTGGTTTTCGCGATGTTCAAATATCGTGTGGTCCCTGACGTCGAGTTTGGGTGAAGAAGTTCCAGAAATCGAAAACAACAGCAGGAGACGCAGCAATTTGGCTTTTTCGGAGATAAGACCGTCGCCGTGACTTACACGAACCATCGCCAACAACACCACGACCCCAAGAACGTCAATCGAATACGATCAAAGAGAAAGTAAAGCAACACCGCCAAAATGGGTCTCATGCGCCACATGAACCACGTCGACCGCGAGGAGCTCTACACAGACCTCGAGGCCCGCATCCGCTACCTCCACAGCTTCCTCGACTTCTCCTCAAGTCCGCCATAACCCCTTTCCCCCCTCCTCCGAAGCCTCCACTAACACCCCGCCGCAGAAGACATCGAAGCCCTGATCTCCGGCGCCAAATACGTCAAAGCCCTCATCCCCGCCGTCGTCAACATCGTCTACCACAAGCTGCTCCAGTACGACATCACCGCGCGCGCCTTCACCACGCGCTCCACCTCCTTCGAGGGCCCCATGGACGAGGTCCCCGACGACAACTCCCCGCAGATCCTGCACCGCAAGATGTTCCTGCGCGCGTACCTCGCCAAGCTGTGCTCCGACCCGAGCAAGATGGAGTTCTGGGAGTACCTCGACAAGGTCGGCATGATGCACGTCGGGCTCGGCCGCGCGCACCCGCTGCATGTGGAGTACATCCACCTCGGCGCGTGTTTGTCGTTTATTCAAGATGTGATGACGGAGGCGATTCTGTCTCATCCGAGGTTGCATATGCAGCGCAAGATTGCGTTAGTGAAGGCGCTGGGGAAGGTGATTTGGATACAGAATGATCTGATGGCGAAGTGGCATGTCAAGGATGGCGCGGAGTTTGAGCGGGAGGGCGGGGAGGAGCCGGTGATTGAGGAGGAGGGGTATCTTCATGGACGGAAGATTTTGGAGAGCGAGAGCGATGAGGAGACGGTCGCGGCGGGGCCGAGGAGCCCGTCGAGGATACCCAGGACCGAGGGCGTGTGTCCGTTTACGGGGATTGCGAAGGGGGTTGAGGGGTTGAAGGTGGATGGGGAGAAGGAGGAGAGGGTTGAGGCTTCGGCGTAGATGAAGGCATGATATGGCGTTTTAGGGATATGCATTGGGCTAGGGTTTGGGATAGAATAATGATTTCATGGTTCATTTCATGTGCCTGGTATTGATACGTCTTAGGCCATGATGCCTGCCAGCATGTCTACTGAAGGATGTGTCTAACATCAGGGCGAAACAGTATACAAAGAAGTGGTACGAAGACAACGCAAACGACGCAGTTGAGAGTGAATATGGTCCTTGGTTTGAAAGCATCACTGGCAAAGCAAGGGATCGCCCATCGAAGCTTCGTGAAAAGTCTGGCTCATCTATCTAAGTAACAAAGCGAAAGTCTTCCAAGCTGTCTGAACTCAAGACAAATCATCTTGTCCAATTAATTCCACCCGCCAATTTTGCCAGCCCAATTCCTCTTGCTGGAAGATCCATGATATTAACGCTTTTGGAAGGCTACGCCATTCTTCCAAGAGGATCTTCGGCCAAAGTCCAGCAGTATCAGAGGTTGCTCTGCTATGCCAACGCACACTTCGGTATCCTAACATTTCCCTCAATGCAAAATCACACCTGAAAGTCCGGGCCCTCTGTCCGACGTCTCTTTCGACCTTGGTGCATCGAGACCTGGCCGAGCACATTCTCCATCGTGCCCCTCAGCTCCTCGAGCTTCGTCTCCAAGTTCTCAGTGTATGCGTCCTTGTCGTGGAACCGCTTCTCCATGTTCGCGGTTGCGGCCACCTTCTCGGCGTACTTCTTTTCCACTTCTTGCATCTCCCTCTTGATCTTTTCGACTTCCAGCGTGGCCTTGGAAATTTTGTCCGAGAAGGTCTCCTCCGATTCCAACATCTTCCACTTTGCCGCCTCCGATTCGGAAGTCAAGTTGGAGATCTTGGCCGTGTACTCGTCGCACTTTCTAGACAGCTCCAGAACTCGCATGCTGTCATCGCGTTCGCGATCTTGTCGCATGCACCTGTCTCTCTTGATGGCATCTAGCTCACGCTGAAGTCCATCTGCCCGGTCCTGCGCTCTGCGGGCGATGTTGCGCTGGACTTCAAGATCCTGGGAAAGCGTCAAGCTGGGCGCATGCTGGGAGAACATCAATGGTTGATGTTGCTGAGAGCTGGTTTTGCTCTGGTCACTGATTGTGCCTTGCCGGAGCTGATTGATGAGCTCGTCCTTTTCGCGAATCTTACTTCTCATTTCGATTATTTCATCTTCGGCTCGGCGACTTTTGTCATTCTTCAGCCTGATCTCCAACTCAAGCTTGCTGATGGTCTGCTTCGCATGGCTCGACTGAGCTTCGTGATTCAGCGCCTTTTCCGTGAGACTGGTAGCGTACTGGTCAACACTTCTCTTGGCATTCTCAAGCCTTACGTTTTGAAACTTGAGTTGTTCAATCTGAGCTACCAGCTCCTTCTGGTCGTTCGTGTTCTTGGTCTTCAGGATTTGAATATTGCGTTCCAAGATCTTGACCTCGGCAGACATTTCCTTGACCTCCTGAAGATTGTCGCTGTTGGCCTCCGTGTTCTTCTTCTCCAAATGCTTGACCCGGTCTCTAAGGGCAATGTTGGTGTTCTGAAGGGCCTGAAGATTCTTCTTGTCTGCAAGGTGGCCTTCCTGGAGTTCCTCGTTTGCCTTTCTTAGGTCTCGGAGACGCCTCTCAAAATCTCCATTGGATCTTCGGCTGTTGTCTTGCACCGCTTGAAGCAACTTGGCGGACCGCTGCTTGTCTTCTTTCAGCAATCTCTTTTCTTCTTTCAGCGAGGCGATCTCTTCTTGCAACTTCGGCCTGGAACTCTCGTCCTCTGAGGTTAGATCGATAGCGTCAATGTCGTTGGCCTTCCTGCGTGCAACATCTTTCCACTTCTTCCTGGATTCCTTCTCCTTCTCGAGCTCACTAGACACCTCCTCGACCAGCCGACGGAGGGCCTCAATCTCCTTCTCAGAATTTTGGCGAAGTACCTCGGCGTCAATTCCAGCCTCTTGAGTTGCATTCTTCTTTGTCTTCTTCTTGTTCTTGCGTTGAAGCGCCAGCACTTCTTGCTCGTAGGCCTTTTGAATGATTCTGAGTCGGGTGGTCTCCCAGGATAGGCGAGGCTTGGCGTGTGCTCTGTCCAGCGCGTTGGACTCCTTGTCGCAACAATGTCGATAGCACTCTCCGCCGCTAGTGACCTGGATCCATCGCAGCTCCGGGGCACCGGGCAGCTCCTCTTCGCTCTCGTTCGGGTGGATGTCGCATGCTCTCGTGATGACGTAGCCATTGCAGCGCGGGTCTTGCTTCTGCTTCGCGGTGATGGTGATGGCGACAATATCCATGATGCGATTGCCGCGGCGCGTGACGTCGATGACAAACTTGTAACCCCCGGATGAGGCGCGGAAGGTGCTTGCGCTGCCGGGATTCATGTGCAGGAAGACGTTGAGGCCATCTTCGGTCGAGGCGGGGAAGGTGTAGTTGGCTGCAATGTGTCGAATGACTGCCTCCCAGCGGGACCAGCAGTCGCTGGTGAGCTTGACGCTCATGATGGTGATGTTGATAGGAAGCCGGCGACGTCGATGGCGATGACAGCAATTACAGATAGGCTGAGAAGGATGCCTGGAAAGGAAAGCTACCGAGGACGTCGTCGCGCTTGTTCAAAAGGGGATGAAGGTATTGCAAAAGGAGTTGAGGAAATAAGAGCCGCTCGGGAGGCCTCTTGCAAGATCTAGTTGGCCGATGCAAAACGAAAGTCAACCTGGTCGAGAAGAAGGCCAACGTCCCGAGAAATTTGCAGTCTGGAAGAATTTTGAGATTCGCTGCCCCGATATGTTGGAAGTTGGAAAGCTGGAGGAAGGGCAGGTGCGAACGAGGCGGTGGTTGCCTGGTGACGGTCAGGTCTGGAGCGGAAGGTGAAGTTGAGCTGAGGTGGAAGCGAAGGCAGAAAACAAGTGGAAACAGGAAGTGCAATTTGCAAGCCTCTGATCCTTGTACGATCTATCTAAACTAACTAGCAGCACGCATGAACCCAACGAAGGGACAATGGAAACGCCAGGATAACAACCGAATTCGATTCCTCATAGTCTTGTTGTTGGTAATCCCACACTCCGGTAACATCTATTATACCAGTCCATCTCAATACTCAAAGTCGGGGCCTTCGGTACGGCGTCTCTTGCGTCCCTGGTAGATCGAGACATGCTTCAGCGCTTTCTCCATAGTTCCTCTCATATTCTCGCCGTGCTCCTCGGCGCCGGCACTGTAGGCTCCTCGGTCCTTGCTAAGCACATTCTCCATTGTTCCTCTGAGGTTCTCAACATGTTCCTCAACACTCTCCAGATAGGATTCCTTGTCTTTGCAGCGACACTTTTCCTTGCTTCCTTCGGTTTTC